TTTTTTTTTTTTTTTTTTTTTTTTTTTTAAATTTTTTTTACATTATATTGGTCCGACATATGCTCTTTCAAAGAAAGTATCTATCCTTTTTCCTTCTTCTTATGAAAAAATACACGGTTCTTTTAATATACGCGATAAAATGAGAATTCTCGTGTTATGTACGTCCGCGGAATGGCGGTTAAAATAATTGAGATCCTTAAACTGAAGATCCGGAAGATACGTGCATTTCGGTGCTGAACAACGATTTTGATGTATATACGGTTACTTATGAAATTATTGATATTTTTTATATCATTTTTTTTTTTTTAATAAATACGTATAATACTGCTACTAAACGTTAATCTCATATCGATTAGTCTACACAAGTTTCACGCAAATAAACTCAATTATTTAAATCTAAATAACAAACAAAATCTCTGGATAAAATCGCATGATAAAAAGGGGAATAAATCTCACACGTAAAATCTATCCTCGCGTGTATTTTTTTACTGTATTCTTTAAAAACAAGAATACAATGTTACAACGCGGATAAACTAAAAAAAAAAAATCTATGATAAAAATCGAAAAGGCAGAAAACAAACTCGCATCGTTACTTCAAATAGCAGAACAACAATTCATTGGAATACTCGAAACGAACGACATTTTCATTTACTTTATTGTGTCCTTCCAATTTTTTCTCTTTTTCTATCTTCATATAATGATACATCACCTCGTCCAGCACCGTAAAAACACGTGTGACAAACGAAGAAGAAAGAAGGAAAAGGAGTGGGAAAAAAACGATGGAGAAAGAAAGAGAGAAAAGAGGAACAGAGATCGAAACGATAAAGATAAAGGGAGAACGAAGAAGAGGTAGAAGAGGGAGAGTGTAAGAAAAGAAGAGAAAGAAAGAAAAGAGATCGGAATGAACAGTCGACCGATCGAATTCGGAACTGTTGTTTTTCTTTCCTCGTTAGACATACCTACGATCTATCTACCGTGTACCTTACAATCGTAACAAACTACAAAATACGTTATTACTATAATATTATATATAAGAGTTGCGCGAACGTATGCACAGAGGCTTTATTATAATCACAGCTTTAGTAGTACGATTAGTATCTCATAGAGCTGTATAATGACTAGCCAACATAAAAATCATCACTTTTCTCTCTCTTGTCCTTATTGCACTTAAGGTATCTCGAAAAAAAAATGCACGGATCGCGTTTCGTCTACCTTTCTCGTCAAGAAAGGACCAAAAAAACGCTTTTATATTTATTTTAATTATATCATCTTTCTATTTTCGCGAATATTACGAATATATGTACATTTAAATGTACGTATATATATATATATGTATATGTATATATTTATCCTCCTTAGTTAAAATATCCTATCTCGCTTTTTAGGATAAACAAACTGTTTCTCCTAGATCTCTATAAAATTTATTTAAATTTTCTAACTTAGATCAGGTAGAGCTAAAAAAATGTTGTTCAAAATTGTAATGTATCTTGAAAAATGGAAAAATATTAAATAGAATAGCTCAACTAAGGACGACAGGTATGTTATATATTACATACATTATGTACATATATTACGACGTCGTATGTATTTAAAAAACGGAAAGGCAAAAAAAAATGTAAAAGAAAAAAAAGACCGTGTCTTTTCCTTTCCTTTTTTTCTTTTTTTTTTTTTTTTGTTCTTTCTTGTGTTCTTTGCAAGCCTTTGCGAGTTAAAATCAGTCTTGCCCTTGATGACTTCGCGTCTCGTTTTAAATCAAAAGCCTCAGGCATACGCGCACAGAGAATTGTTCGTCCTCTTGTTTTCAACGTGCGAAGACTAAAAAGATCGTCGACACAAGATCTACAGATATACAAGGAAGTTCGAGGCACGCTAACGCGAATATTCTCTCTCTCTCTCTCTTTCTCCCTTTATTTCACCGTTTTATTTCAATATGTTTCAATGCATTTTTTGCATTTTATCACGTTTCTACGATTTCTCTTTTTTTTTTTTTTCCCCCTCTCATTCGATTGCAATTAATCTTTGCCCTTTGATTCGTTTCGATCGAGTTGAATACTCTCGCGTTATATACCTTTTTCCCTCTTTTGCCGGTAGCAATTTGAAATCGTTTGGCGCATGTACGCGCGCGCGCGCGCGCCATTATCTATTTTCGTGTATCGTTAAAACAAACAGACACATCTTGCACTTATGGACCTTACACGAAAATTTTTTTTTGAAACAAAACGAAAAACTCTTTTCTTGCAACTTTTTTCTTTTTTCTTTCTCTCTCTTTTCTCTCTCTCTCCTCTCTCTCTCTCTCTCTCTCTCTCTCTCTCTCTTTCTCTCTTTCTTTGACTCGCGGTTGTCATGGTTCCCCTGCTTGCTGTATCTAAGCTTTGTGGCGTTAAAATTTAAAAATTATCGATAGTAATCGTGATAATCGTAAAAATGAGAACATAATGATAATAATAATAGTAATAATAATAATAATGATAATAATAATGATGATGATGATGATGATGATAATGATAATAATAATCGCTAAAAATTAATATTTAACAATAGTCAAAAGAGAAAAATCAACAGCCCTGCTTTTACACTCCTAGTACTTAGAATTTACGATCTGCACATCCGCTCATCATTTTATAATACATCTATATGTATATGTATACGTATGTACAATATGTATCTTGCGTGTACAATACACTTCGATATGTGAAAAGTAAGTACACCTATGGAACTGATTCATAAGCTGTACAATAATCCTACGTGATAAAAATAATAAATACCGACATCTTTGATACGTTTCTAGCATTTAGATACGTATGAAGATGAGGCATGGAAAAATTAGGCATCGAAAGAATAAAGATAAAAAAAGACGATAAGACGATAGGAAAGATGAGAGAGAGGAAGAGGAGAAGAAAGGAAGAGAAATAATATAATAATAAAACAACGAAAAGAGTTAAAGAGAAACCATGACGATTGGGATCCTATCGATAAACGCGTTATGCATATTGCTAAAATGAAGTAACATTGCGTCTTTCTA